TGTATACGAGTTTTATATGTACGAATCTCTTGTGTATGAGTATTTTGTGTATGACTTTTCGGTGTACGAGTATTTCGTGTACGATTAGAAAATGTATGAGTATTGGAGACATGAGTCGAAAATGTACGACTATTTGGTGTACGAAACGTGAACATCCCAGTCAACCAGGGGGTGTGTGCTGCTGCCGCGCCGAAGAGCAGTGTCAACGCTCTGCGGTTGAAGGACCGTCGCTGTGGAGGGGGCAGTCGTATTACAAACGGTAACTTGGTTTCCAGGTCCCACACCCGGAGTAGGATGGTGTTGATGAGCATGTTGAGCATTACTTAATGAACGGAAGACGATGTCGGAGGATCCTGGTGGTGATGTTCTTGGTCTCAAGAGGCGCAGATGAGGAGCACGTGGCTGGGCAGTCGTTGTTGTGGTTGTCGTCGAAGGCTGGCTACGTTGAGAGAGTGCATCTTGTAGTTCCTCTGAGGAACTTATTACGGCTTATTACGGCTATTGATGAGGAACTTCCTCATCAATAGCCTCAGCAAACGGGGGTTCACCATGGTCGTTGTTGACGAGGGGGACGTGTGGTAGTTTGTCGTGGTTGGCGGCGGTGTCGTTTGGTGGATTGCTGTTATCACCAGGGGTATTGTGCGGTAATTTGTCGTTGTTGTTGATGTTGTTGTCTGGTGGGCTGCTGCTGGTCTTCGGGGGTTCCAGGGTAGGCTCATCACTGGTGTTGTTGTGGACATTGGTGTTGGCTTCGGTACCAGGCACGGCGGCGTTCGCGGTCTTGGTAGCTTGCTCGTTGTTGGCGAGTTGAACCACCTCAACACTTGAATGGGCTCGAGTGATGATACTGGAATCTGGAGGGGGTAGATGACCTTGGAGACGGCGGCTTCGACGGAGTGTAGACTCGGTCTTCTCGGATGATAGTAGCGATTCGGGAGAGTAGAAGTCTTGCTCGGGCGATCTATCTTCCTTGTTAGCTTGGGAACTCGACATAGATGGAAATGAAGTGAATTGAGTTATAGTTGTTGCACAAATACAGATAGTTAGTCAGCTTATCCATGCGTTTCTTAATTGAGCGTTTCCGCAGGGTGAGCGAGATTTGAGATGCGCTCAGCGGAGCGACGTAATTATCACAGAGAATCACCATGGCACGCACGAATCTCGCTCGCCCATTATTCGCTGCATGAAACGGTTGCAGCCCATCGGCTGAAATGGATAGAAGAAGAAGCTTTAAATCCCATTATACTCAATCCTATGTCCATCCCAGGTGTTGTTGAGTCAACCAGTGCGGGTGTTACTACTAACACGCGCAAAACGTCACGCTATGTCCTTCTCAACGATTTCACCACAACCCTTCCACCTGTACATGATCGTGACGGACCTGAAGCGCCGCAAGGCCTTCAACCGTCTCATGAAGGCTATAATGGAACACCTGGGAGTCACCGCTGCTGCGCAGCAGGACGTCCGGGGTGCTCAGAGAACCTGTTCTGAAATTCAGAATACATTGCAGAATGCGAAACACCAAAACAGCGTTCAGAGAACTGGCCCCGGAATACACTCTGGAAAGTGTTCCAGAATGGATTCCGAACGCGTTCAGTTACTGAACTTCAGTAGACTTCAGATTGTATTCCGAAACGTATTCCAAAATGCAAGATTTGGGTATGAGAAGACGCCGCTGCTCTCCGACGACGGCGGCAACTCGGATGAAGGATGACAGCAGCAGCTGGCGACGGAAGAGTTTTTGAAGACCACTCTTGTCACAAGCAACACTGTGCAGCATCGCACACGAAAGATATCCAGACTCTCGCTCCGCGTATAAAGCAGGCCAAACACCAGATATTTTCTTCCTTTGTGTTCTCGTGTCGCAGGCGCGCACGCCATTGTTTGTGAGATTGACTTCTGCTAGGCTTAAGTGATTTACCATTGATCTGTTCATACGAAACTCGACTCGACTCGACTCGAAACTTATTGCCAGGCTTTACGGGCAGGAGCCCATAGCACTATACACGCCCCGCGCAAGCAGCGCCCGAGAAGGCATGACCAGCAGCACAGAGCCTCATAGAGTATGGCAATTGTGGGGTTAACTTTACAATGACTGCTGATGAATGGCTTCTTCACTCAACAGCGATGCAGCGGCAACGCCTTGTGAGGAATCCTCACCGAGGATCGTGAGGCCATTGACTCAGGGGAGTGGGCTGCGCCCACTGGGCATTACGGAAAAGTGAAGCCGCCTATGCACAGGAGAATGGGAAAAGTAGAACAACCAACCCGCGGCCCGAACAGTGGGCACAATGGGCTGGTTGTTCCAGAGACTGAAACTATCGAGCCGTCATCTGAGATTTCCACCGAAGCCACCGCAAACCGGAGACTATCTATTCCGACGACGGTCAACGTAAGACAACGATGAACACCAGACGACGTACAAGGATAGATTCAGACTTCTCCTGCAAGGGCGGGATGGGATGGGAGAGAAAGAACGCCGGATATCAACTACACCAACCCATCGTATGAACCTCTGACTTGTAACTCAGAGTACAACCGGTTACTAGCGAAACTAATAGCACGCACACACATGTCTCTTTATTGTGCAAACCGCACATCGACTTCTCCTGCACTGGCTCTTTCACCCTCCGTCCCTGAAGGGAACTTCACAGAAAGAAGTCAGAAGAAGGTTAACACACAAGTTACCATGGAAAAACATATAAGGGATCGAGTATAAGGATGTTCAATGACAATGTCATTTTACATGGTCGTGACAATACCGGTCACCAACAAGGGGGACATGCGTGTATGGCAGGTTCGGTCTATACTTGGTACCGGAGAACCCGGCCACCCCCGGCGACGAATCGTCGCCGACGATGACGCGTATAGACCTAGGGGGGATCTGTTCGTACGTTATTGAGATTCACTTCTTGTTACTCATTATGCGCCGATCGTCTTGTGCATGCGTGCATAGCGTATTCCGCTCGAGAGAGTAAGCTTAGAAGCAGGAGATAGACAGTCTTTACACTCCTTCTCGCCTCGCGTTGACTACGAGCAACAACGGAGAAGCAACACTTCTCCTATATCTGGGCATCTTGTTCCCTGGATTACACTGTGCCTCACATCGGCTACAAGTGTCGAGTTGTACATCGCTTGCATTTAACGGCGCCGCGCTCTATAGATTCTATGGTATAGAACATAAACTGTTTCTCAGTTATTTCTCGGTTTTTACATACCGATGAATTTCGCTCACTATTTCTGGCTTGCCGCTGCTCTCTTGCATTTGGTGGGTTCTCAGGTGGTGAAAATCGACATTTCTCGAGAGCCTGAGGGTATACATCATTCAGTAGTGGCTAAGTTGAAGGTTGATAATGATGAAGTCTATCCGGTGGTAGACACCGGTACCCACTATTTGTTCTTCATTTGGAAGAACTGGTTTGAAGGTGTCCACAAAGGGGACTGCTCGAAGATCCTTGCGGGGTGTTACGAGTGCCCCTCGGGACCGTGTAAGGGCGGCCCCAAGACGAAGGTGACTTTTGGTGATGGCACACGTGTGAGCCTCTTTAAAGAAGAGGGGAAGCTACAGCACGACACCGGCACTACTCCGATCGAGTTCGGCTTGACCGCGAATTACGCGTCCCCCGATCAAAGCGCCCAGCCGCACGCCAGTCTCGGCCTCGCTCGTAACCCCAAGCCCGGCATTGGGTATCTGTCGATTGTCGAGCAGCTACTGTCCAAAAAGGTTATCGGCAGTAGTGCCTTCTCCCTCTACCTCAAGCGTGGTGATCATTCAACTGGACAAGTCATTCTGGGCGGTACCGATCCCAGTCTGTATAAAGCTCCCTTGTTGTTCCTTGCCGTCGATGGACGCGATTTTGCTGGGCTCGACAGCTTCGGAATCGGTGGCCCCAGCTTTCCATCTTTTCCTGTCGGAGACCAAGTTAAACTGGACACCGGGACACAGGGTATTCTTGTACCTGGAGTGGCCTTGATTAATATCATTCCTAATATCGCTGCACGTGCTTCGAGAACCGTGGAGATCAAAAGCAGCGGTCCGAGGTTGTTCAAAATCGCTTGTAGCGACCGTCAGTATCTACCAGATATGACCTTTTTCCTGAAGGGAGAGCATGGTGAGAACGTCCCTCTGGTATTCAAGCCTGATGACTATGTTGAACCTCCCACCCAGCCCGGACAAACGGACTGTGACTTGATCATCCAAAGAGACGACTTCGGTGAATGGCTTATCGGCTATCCAATGCTCTTTGGGAGGTACTTTTACTTTGAGTGGGATGCACATAAGATTGCCTTCGCTGACTTGGTATAGGAATGCCATCAGCATTCTTGATCACAACCCATGAAATACTATAAAGTGAGCTCATACGCAAAAGCCCAACCCCACGGGCTGCTTTTGTTTCGTTCAATCATTTCTATTGGTAGTGAATCCCGTAAAGGATAGCAGATAGGTGATGAAAAATCATGCGGGTAAAAAGTTTTTCAACCGTTGTAGAGCTCAGCCTGGCGTTCTGTAGTCCAGCAGACTAAGTCGGGAAGCAAGCTTCGCGCTTGTCGCTAGCTGCAGCAAGCTGCCAAAGAGTAAACCCTTTGAGGCGCCTCGGCGTGACGAAACGGTTCAGTTGCCTGATGCCAAGACGAAAGCCAAGTTGTTATACAGTCCTCCAAATAAATTTGGAATATCGCGTTTTCCCCGCCGCTAGCTCCAACTGGGACGAGTTACGAAACGAAATGTATAGGGATGACGCCATTTCAACATCGAGCTACACAGGCGCAGTGGAAGCACCATATCATTTGAATGTAGCACTCTCAGGGTGCGCCTAGCATCGGCCGGTACTCCGGCTCTGGTGGCTCAATCGGATATAGCGTTGGACTTCTAGTCCAAAGGTTGCGGGTTTAAGTTCCGCCCAGAGTAGATGCACATCAGATCGGATCTGTCTACTCCTATGGCAGTCTCTGAGAGACTGTCTCTCTACTATACACTATCGCCGTTGAACGGAATGAAATGCTACAGTCCTGGCGGGACTAGAACCCGCAACCTTCGGCTCCAGAAATCGACGCGCTTCCATTGCGCCACAAGATCGACTAAAAGTGGTTAGTTACACTTCGTACTCGTGTTGGATCAATCGGAGGAGTGTTCCGCTTGGATTCCTTTTTGACAGGAGTAGGCTGCCGCCAAACTATCGGCAGCACCCGAGCTGTGAAGCATGAATCCACTCTATGCAGGTGCGCCTAACGGCGCAAAACGCTAGTCGGCACTAGCTGCTGTCCGTGACAGCTTGATCCGTTCACCAGCTCTAGTGACTCAATCGGATGGAGCGTTGGACGTCTAATCCAAAAGTTGCAGATTCAAGTATCGCCTAGAGTATACGTGTATGCTACCACATCAGATCGGAGCTGTCTGTTCTTAAGACAGCCCTTCCTGACTATACGTTGTCTCCGTCGTCTCGCACTCGTAGTGCTAGTCACTAGCGCCTCGGCCAAACTGTCAGTGATTAGTTAGTATTGGATGGCTCCATCTGCCGTGTAGGGGGTTACAAGTGCTTCGAGATAGCTTGCGGCTCGAATGCAATTCAACTGTGATCATGCAATATTCCAAGAACTCACCATCGGACACTGCCCGGCGTTTCTCGCTTCAGCGAAATTGAGTGAGCACAGCTTGTTTGTTGTTAAGCATTGGAATATGTATCATCAGAAAGATCTCCTGCGTCGCTATCGTCTAGTGGTCAGGACGTCACGATGTGGCCGTGACAACCCCGGTTCAAATCCGGGTAGCGACTTTAGTTTGGAATGAAATGTGTTCCAGCACACGAGAATGTTGACAAGACGTTCCTGAACACAGAACGAGACGTCAGCTTGTCGCTGATGGATGCACGGTGCGCTGCCCTGGAATTCTCACCTTACCACGGCTCAGCCCTATCCCACAGCGTGTTTCATCGTGCACCAAGTCTTGGTGCGACACTTCACTCGGAACTAGGATTTTGCCTAATCCTGACCGAAGTTGAACCCGCAGCATTTGGCTCCGGAACCCGAAGTGCTTCAATTTCACCATAAGCTCGGCTTACTGAGAATAGTCTGCTGAGGCAGCAAATGAATCCACTGTATGCCCTTCAACATTCAAAGGAACGCCCACCATCGGCCAGCACTGTATGTCGCTACCGATTCCGGCTCTGGTGGCTCAATCGGATAGAGCGTTGGACTTCTAATCCAAAGGTTCCGGGTTCAAGTCCCGCCCAGAGTAGGTGCACATCAGAGCGAAACTGTTTGCTCCTATGGCAGTCTCCCTACTATACACTATCGCCGTTGAAAGCAATTAAATACTACAACCCTGGCGGGACTTGAACCCGCAACCTTCGACTCCGGAAACCGACGCGCTTCCATTGCGCCACAAGGTCGACTAAAAATGGTTAGTTACACTCCGTACTCGTGTTGGATCAATCGGAGGAGTGTTCCGCTTGGATTCTTTTTTGACAGGAGTAGGCTGCCGCCAAACTATCGGCAGCACCCGAACTGTGAAGCATGAATCCACTCTATGCAGGTGCGCCTAGCGGCGCAAAACGCTAGTCGGCACTAGCTGCTGTCCGTGACAGCTTGATCCGTTCACCAGCTCTAGTAACTCAATCGGATGGAGCGTTGGACATCTAGTCCAAAAGTTGCAGATTCAAGTATCGCCTAGAGTATACGTGTATGCTACCACATCAGATCGGAGCTGTCTGTTCTTAAGACAGCCCTTCCTGACTATACGCTATTGTTGTGAGCAAACTGAGCACTTTGATTTTAGGGCGTGCGCGGGCAGCGTTTGCTCTGTGTGATCGTAGACATTCAAGCTAAGTAAGCTAGAGCTTGTATGTGAAGTATAGTTAAGATTAAGAGTTTTATTGGTTTGTGGTCCTTACTGGTTGGACCATCCTTACGTGAAGTACTATCGTTGCAACCCAAGGCTCGGTGGGTTGATTATCTATCCATTAGTATTAATTGGTATTATCGACTGGTTGTGTTAATCTACTGGGATGAGTGCATCTTCTCGCGACATTGAGAACATTGGCATGGAAACCCAAAACGGCTCCCAACAATTGGTAGCAGCTCCTTGTTGGAGCCCTACGTTATTGGCTAATCTTGGGAGGACTCAACTTGAAGCTATTCTTACGGTACGGAATATTCCTAATCCGGGTGGATCTATTCGAGAGATGGCTGCTTATGTCTATGAGAATGATAAATGTGTATTAAACTCAGTAGAGAAGGGCCTCTTCTTGAATGTGTATCGCAAAGTATTTGGAACCCCGTATGTAGAAGAGCCTCAAGCTATGTCCACGGGATTGCAGGCTTCTTATGATGTCCTTAATGAGCCTCGAGAAGAAGATGATGACGCATCGAAGGAATCACCACCTTTGGATGGTGATTTGCCGGAGGATGCGGGTAGTACTGGTAAAGAGGGTGGTCTCTCCTCTAAGGGTCTGGTCTCATCGGGTTTTGATTATGATACTGCTAACAAAGCTGTTGAGAGTATTACTGGTTCTGAGGAGAAAGGTGGCCAGTTCACTGACTTCTTGGCCTCTGAATTTCAGAGGATGCGGCAAGAAAACAGTGCTGCTCACTCGACTCTGATGAACGTGATTGATAAGCATAAGGAGTCTATCGATATTGAGAATGCCCGCCTACGTAAAGAATTATCTACCTCGGTGGGTGCGTTAGACGAGAAGGTTTATAACTCTATAGAGGAGTTGAGGACTGCCACTAATGATAACTTTAATGCTGTGAAGATTTGCTTGGATGATCGTGACCGTCAACAAAATGAAGTGACTTCCAGGCTTGATCGTCGTCTTGAGGCTATTGATCTCAAATTGACGAATATGGGAAGGCCTACTGTGAAGACGGTGCAGGGTGCTCAAGCTTTTGATTTAAGTCCTGGTCATGTAGGAGCTCAACAGGTTATTGGTAGTAGTAACGACTTGAGGAGTCCTTATGATAGGCATGTTACGTTGAGAAAGCGTACTGGCTCTGCCTTTAGCTTGAATGGTAATGGAGAGCCTATTGGTCGTGATGTAGGTCGTAGCAGTCATGACCAAGGTCTTCCTGTGGCGCCGAATGCTACCTCTAATTATGGTATGCCTTTGTACGAGCAGGAGAGTCCGACCTTTTCCTTCAACCCCGTTGGTTCTGGTGGTGGGTCTAAGGCAACTACAGAGCATGGGGCTGGGTATGTGCAGGGTAAGGCCTTCAATTCGGAAATGCCCAATGGTTCGCTGGGTAATCCTCGAAAGGTGCGGCACTATGATTATAGTGACCCTAGTAGAGGCCGAGGCTACTCTAGTAATGGTCCTGAACGTCACCAAGAACGAGTAATGGCACCTGATGCCCTTGAAGGTGGTAGGAAAGGCCAGAGTACCACTATGGGTACTGCTGGGACCTACCATGGTAATGTGGAGTCATTTCCAATGACCCCAAGTGTTGCTGGCCAGATAGGGGAACCTTACGGTAGAACTCCTCCCTATGGGGAGAGAGTAACACTGTGTAGGCAACCTGATGGCAATTTTAAGATGGTTCAAGAAGATTATCCGCTAGCCTTCAATGATGGAAGGCCTAGCGGGGGTGATAATGACTCTATCAACTCTCGTGTAGTGAGTCAGGTGGAGTCAGTATTGTCTGAAAATCTGAAGACCATCGCCCCTACTAATGCTAAGAAGGCCCAGATTCGTTCGAATATGGGTTACCGTATGCCACGGTATGGATACTTGAAGTCCTTCTGGTTACTGCCTCCTCAGTGGCAGAAGGAGAGACCTGATGATTTACCTATGGGTTCTGACGATTTGGCTATCAACGAAGCTCAACTAGAGTTCGTTAAACACCGAGTGACTCAGGCTTCTGAGAAGCTGGTGAGCCAGATTAAGAAGCTCCAAGGAGGGCCCTATCAGGGTGCAGGTGATTCGAGATCTTGGCATGAAGTAGAACGTGAGATTGTAGACAATTTGAATCGCTCCTCTTTGACTATTGCGAGGATTCATTTGCTGTATCTCACTGATTGTGTGAGCCCTACTATTAGCCAGAGAATTAGGAGAAGGTTGGGTACTGACTCTTGGTTCGACGCTAACCCTGTGGATCTCTTGCTGGCTATGTGGAATATTCTGGACGAGTTGTTTCGTTCAAAATCCACACCTGAGGCTCAATGTGATAATATGCAGAATGTGAAGAAGTCCACTAATGAGACTCTACCGCAGTTCATGTACAAGCTCCAGAACTTGTTTACTGGTGTCGAGATTGAGACCGGTCAAGAACTGGTTTATAGTACTAAGTTGACTCGTCTTCGTGGTGCGCTGCCTAAGGTGGACGTTCAGTTCCTAAGGGAGAAATTCCCGACTAACCTAACTTATGATCAATTGGTTACAAGAGTTAATGAGTATCTCTCTAGTGCCATGGATCGTGAGTGCTATGAGAGGTTTGTTAAACAGTATAGGATGTTGAACGCCCCCGAGAAAGTTGATGGCTATGCTCATGATGACTTGAAGACGGTGGATACTGTGGTGGACGCTATGGAAGAAGCGCCTTCCGTCCAGGAGGGCAAATCTTCCAAGCGTGGGAAGAAGCCCAAGAAAGCTACTAAGGGTGTCGTAGCCAATGAAGCGGCGACGGGTAGCTCTGGTGGCCCTGTGGGTTCTGGCAGTTGTCGACGTTGTAACTCTAATGGTCACACCGCTGAGAACTGCACTTCTGAGAATTTGTCTATCTTTCGTGGCCGTTGTTATACCTGTGCTGATACTAGTCATCAGGCGAACAAGTGCACGAAGGATAAATCTAAGCTGGTATGTAAAAGGTGTTTACTCGGTGGTCATGTAGCCGATGTCTGCCGAGTGAAGTGGTCTTTTATACCTAAGTCACATCATCCCGATCCTTCAAGTTCTGGTGTCAGCCAACCTCCCCAACCTAGCGGGAAGTTTGAGACTACTATTAACCAGAAGAAGGAAGCTACAGATGTCTCTGCTAACTCTAATCTGTGTGAGACTGGTGACACACAGATGGAGAAAGCTGAGATAGGTGAAATCTACGAATGCCAGACTAAAGCCGTCTCGTGGTTGGACTTGAGAAAGG